ACAGAAGAAGTGATGTGATGGCATTGTCAGAAATCTTGAAGGTAGCTTGCCATGACAAAAGCATCATGGCCAGAATTTTCATCAACAAGTCTTCTGGTTTTTCACTTGTGGACTGATCACTTCCATGCCCCTCCCCATCTTGTATGTGAGGATAGGCTTCACTCAGCTCCTCATCAAGGCTTTCCACAACTTCGTCCTCTTCATACTCATCCTATGCAAATGAAAAGTAGGCACATTAGAAATTGCATGCAATGCCCATACTCATACTACTCTGTTAATGTTTTGAATAACAGTTATGATTAATTAAAATCTCTTCCAAGATTTACAACCAAAAGAATCCTCTAAATGGACATTCATTGTTAGAGACATAATTGTTGTAGATTGTGACGAGGATATATAAAGCATGCTGTTGTATTGGTTAAAACAAAGTTGTTTTAAAGTTTAAAAGAAGTGTAATCATTAGAATTATTAAGATGCAGCCATGGAGGGTTTTGAAATTTACTAAGAAATATTTAAAGTAAATGATCTGACAGATCATTGTTAACCTAATTATGAGGAACACTGAGTAAGTATCATAGGAAGTCTCATTAAGAAGAAAATAAAAGTTCAGAAAAATTCACTGCATTTGTATACTCTTTAAAGAAGTAAACCTACTTTCAAACATGATAAACATAAGAAACCCAGGTTGTAAGCTGTCACATCTACTGACACGGCTGATTAAAGGGCGTTGATTTCAATAAAGAAAACCCAAAATCTAAACACAGGAACTGTAGATAAAGTTCTTCTGAGTTTAGTAACACAAACATGTCTGGTTATATGCTGGTCTCGCGAGTACTAGTAGTGCTCAAAAGCTCACACGTGATTGGACGAGGAGTCGAAGGCTGTTCAGGCTCCTCCAATCACTTACGAGGTCATTGTTATAAGGAAGGACTCGCTAGCACAGCTCGCGTCACTCCATTCTGGAAGGGGGCGGTAGAAGAAGAAGAAGAAGAGCTCGCGTCTATCAAACAAAACCGGTGTGCCAGCTAGTCAGTTGCAAGATGGAAGTTCTAACAAAGAGGAAAAGACCTCGGCGCTTCTGTGAACATTGCGACACTACACTTTCTAATACACAGTATTATGACCACAGAAAGCTCTATTTCAAAAATGGAGTTTGGGAGAAAAAACACAAGGACTAGGTCAGATAACGCACGGAGCCTGTTGCTATCCAGTCATGACCCAACCGGCAGGAGTTATGTTCAACCTGGAGTTGGAGAGATTGATGAAGGTGAAATGCAGTCCGAGGACCCAGAAAAAGAAGTGATGGAAGAAATGCACCCAGCGACTGACTGTTCAGACAACGGTAAGCACCACAATTGTTACTGTCTATTAAAATGTGGTTGCGTGACTTGCGTTTGATTTTTATTCATACCACTCTCATTTGTTTCCCAGCTGCCTGTAAGACGTATTATGAGACGGTACGCAGGAGCTTCAGACATACGCAGCCAGAGAACACGTTGCGGACGGAAGCTGCCAAGCATTCAGCTCGGAGTCAATTAAAGAGAAAGAGGGTAAGACTTTATTTGGTGACTATTTTTCAGGTGCATTGTTAGATGTGTTGTGTCCATACGCAGTGCATCCCATCGCATAGTGCTGATTCATTGTTGTTTTTTTTACAGCTGCTGGAATCCAGGCAGAGTGTGCTAGCTGATGAGGAAGTGGAACTCTGGAAGTCCGCCACCGTCGACCTCATGTCTGACGAAGAAGATGGCGTCGTTGGCGGGGTTTCTGGATGGATTGTACGGTCGCCGCCATTTTGTAGGCCGGATCTCTCTGAACCCTGTGTTAAGCTGCAGTCCCGGTTAGAGGCGATGGCAAAGTACAGAGCCACGCACAGTAGGCGTCTGCACATCGGACCTGCCTCAGTGGGAATGCTGCCAGTTACCTCCAACCCCGAGGAGAAAAATGGACAGTTCACGGAGTTGTAATTTTTGGATACCATGTGTGGGCAGATCCTCGCGTTGTATATAGTTTGTTTTAATAAAGCTCTTTCTTTGCATAAACAGCTTCCTGGCAAATGTTCATTTCCTGTATAAATTCATGTCCTTGATGGTAGCCTAATAATAGTGTAGTAGTGTAGGATAACATAAATATACAGCATAATATGAATATATATATATATGTATATATAAACCAATCACGAGCGATTTTACTTGTTTAAAAAGAAGCGGTTCCATCCAATATTCAGTAAGAACATTCAAGCCTGGCCTGGCCGTGTGTGGTTTTGCTGCCAATCAGGAGCGATTTTACTTGTTTGAAAATAGTGGTTTCAGCCAATACTGAGTAGGTTATTCAAGCCAGTCCGGTTCCAACAATTTTTTATGGCACTGACAAACGGCGACAAGCGCGAGTTGCAAATTGTCGTTAACTGCCGAAAATGAGGGGAGATCTGCGGTAGTTTACGGGGCCGAAAATCTCACTTTTCATGCAGTGTTTGGATTTGGCACCTATATAACTTAACATTTAACAGACTAAAATAGGGTGATGAATTTTCTATAAACTCACAGATGGTTTAATGGGAGCTAAGAAGCTCCTTCATTCTCATTTGAATGAATGTAATCACTCCTTGTTCCTGAAAGCCTCTGATTCTTAAAGATCATTGGACAGATTCATACACAGCTACCAATCACCATGAAGCAATCAGTCAATGTAGTCTTTGCCCAAATAGTCATATTTTTTCTGTGGGGAAAAAGACATCAACATTTCTTCCTCTTTTTTTAATTCATGTCTGTTAAGAAATATGTTTTGAATATTTGATGTTAGGGACACAGGAACAGTATTTTCTCTACACTCTGTTTTCCACCAGGAGGATGCTTTAGATCTGCAGTGCAATTCTTATTTATTTGCATGTCTTAATAGTTGCTCTGTCTAACAGAAAAACCTGTCAAAACTCTTAGATCATCTTACAGTTTTTACCTTCTATGAATCGACTTTCTAACTTTCCAAATGCTTTAGATCTGAGCTGCTTATTGTTACTATTGATTTGGCCACTTTTTATTTCTTAAATAAGCTCAGCTTTTCTTTAGGGAGGTATGGTAAGATCCGATCACTAGGGAAATCCAAAACTTTTCATATTTCTTTATTTTGCTCCAGTCTTTTTTTTTATTATTCTGAAATACTATTTCAGATATGTGCTGTTGCATCAAAACCTAAGCTTTGTAAGTGGTTGGTGATATGAAGCAGCTTTATTTGATTAAGAGAATTCAAATCGCAAACATATTTACATTACATTTATGTTTTTGCATAATTTTGGGATTTTATGAACTAGTCATCCATTAAAACTAGTTATTCCAACTGATTCTTACACCTCATCAGATTATTTTTTATACAAGGTTAATTTCTGAAGAGGTTTTTGATATTTCCATAAACAGATATAAAAGTGGTAAACAGAAAAAAAACATATTTACAAAATTTGAAAAACAAAACAACTTTAAAAAACAAACAATTCATAAACTTTATTGTTGAAAAATCACTTTAGAAATCAATGTCCTTAGAAACTGAATCAGTAAATGTTTCATTTACAAAAAGAAAATTATTTTGTACACACTATTTAAAAATATAAGATAAAAATAAAGTAATCTTTTAAAATGTTTGATAAGCAAAGGTAATTATAATCCGAATAATGAGTTTTTAAATCTCCATTTATAAAAAAAAAAGATTTTAAACTACATTTTCACATTGCCATATTTGATAATGGATTAATAAATAAAACGTTAATTTCCTTTTTGATTATTCAATTTCAAATGTTTAAAGACAAAACACTTTTTAATTGTATTTCAACCTGGAAAGACTCGTACAGAGAAAAGCTGCAGTCAGAATTATATTCAATTTATTTATACAGGCAATACAATCATATTCTTCGAAATATTTCTATCTAAAGAAAACCAGCAGCTTCCGAGGACTCATTGACTCTCTGCTATCCCTCACACCAAGCATGCATTTAGCCACAGTGGAGAGGAAAAACTCCCTTTTAACAGTAACAAACCTCTAGCAGAACCAGGCTCTGTGAGCGGCCGCCTACAAGGCCGACTGGGTTTCAAGGAGATAGAAGCAGATGAAGACATAAATAAGTTCTTTGGCGCTTGGGGGCCCGGCAGGAGACTTTGATGCTGTGAATCAACATACTCTTGGATGAGTAACCTAAAAAGTGTAACCTAGAGCAGTCTTCCCCCAGGGCCCCGACACTGGTGGTGGAATAAGCCAGAGGGTGAGTGGGACTGATAATAAGGAAGGAGGAAGGTGCTGGAGGTGGGTGAAAGTTCCCTTCCATGTGGGAGAGAGAAGCTTGGCCAGGAGCTAAATGAAGGGGATTTGGCAAGATGATTGGCTTCGGAAAGGGTGCAGCCCCGAGTTTATTTCCTGGAGCTCAACGAGGGTCATTGCTGGTGGTTCAGGTAAAGCTGATAAGAGTCTTCCAGATCGAATTTATGCTTAAGCTTCATTTATAATGTATGTTTTAAATGTTCAACTTAAATGTTTAAATGCTTTAAGTCCTCCATAATCATCTGCATAGATTTTCTTTTGGTTCTGGATTTTTAATAATGTGTTTGAACCAAAACAGAATTGATTTGACAAGTCCAATATTTATATTTTCATTTTCTTTCATCCAAAGATGCCCACTAAATTAGAATAGTAGATAACAATGATAGAACAGTAGATTTATCTTTTATTCAGGCTGCTTTTAATAATAGT